GGGGTGTTGGGTGGGCCCCCCAGGGGGTGTTGGGTGGGCCCAGGGGCTGCAGGTGCGGCTGGTGCCCTCCCCGGGCAGCGGCTACTCACAAGGGGCCCCGCGGGTTGCGGGCGGCGTTCATCTTCATGCCCTTGATGATGAGGATGGTGCCTGCGATGATGCCAATGATGCCCACGGCCAGGCCCAGGGCGCACACCAGGGTCTCTGTGGTCTCGGGGATGGGGGTGGGCCCCTGGACTTCTGGAGAGAGGGGGAGAGGGACAGGCCATGGAGTGAGGGGGGCTGTTCCCACCACTCCCTCCCAGAGCCGGGAAAGAACCCAGGCATCCTGGCTCCCAGCCCTGTGCCCAGCGGGGTCCCCGGGTGCCCCGGCCTTACCCCAGTGCTTTGTGAAGGGCTCGGGCAGCCCCCCGTGCTCCACCCGGCAGTCGTAGAAGTCGCCCTGGCTGGGGAGGAAGGGCAGGTAGGAGAACTTGCGGAAGGAGTCGTCCGGGCGGGGGTAGAAGTCGGTCTCAGAGACGCCCTCGGTCACCTCCTGCCCGTTCTTCAGCCACGTCACGCTGAGTGCAGGCGGGAAGAACTTGTCCGCGATGCAGATCAGGACGTTGGGCTCGCCCAGCTCCACGGGGTCTTCGGGGAACACGGTCACCTCAGAGGGCTCTGGGGAGACAGGGGTTAGTGGGTCCCATTGCCTGACCCCCGAGCCAGCCAGTCCCTGGTGCTCACGCTCCAGCTCAGGGGTCTCTCCCCAGGAGTGTGGGGGGCATCACCGGGGCCGTCCCAGCTCCCTGCCCTGACGGCTAATGGGGCACAGGGGGCAGGGGAGCATGGAGGCGTCATGGACCCAGGGCAGCCGACTGGCATCCTGGGGGAATCCTGGCTCACGGCCTGGCCCGGCACCCGCTGGGAGAGCTGCGTTATCCCCCACCATTCGCTGGGGCACCAGGCTCCATTAGTCCCCTGTCACTGGCTGGGGGCCGGCGAGGGATCAGTACAGACAGGGCGATGGCTCCAGGACAGACAGGGCTGTGGTTTGCGGAGGGTCCATCCCCAGGCCAGACGTTCATTGTCCATTGTCCCCTAGTTCGCTCGGGGAAGCAGTGTCTTGTTCAGATCTGCCCCCGGGGGTGGGGGTGTCTCTGCCCTGTTCATGGTGTCGCAGCAGCGCAGCCTGTCAGAGGCGGCTGTGAAACCCACAACTGGTTTGTCGCAGTCGCGGCTCCCCAGAGCGGGGTCTGTGCTCAGGGCTGCCCCCCTGTTCCCAGCCGGCCTGTGGGCCCCGTTAGACCAGACGCCCTTGTCTGGCTGCCCCGGCTCACACAGGCCCGTGACGGGGCGGGCGGGTACCACAGCGAGGGACAATCTCCGGCAATCCGCTGCCAGCAGCCAGGGGCGGCTCCAGGCCCCAGCATGCCAAGCGCGTGCCTGGGGCGTCAAGCCGTGGGGGGCGCCCAGCTGGTCGCTGCGAGGGCGGCAGGAGGCTGTCTTCGGGGGCTTGCCTGCAGGAGGTCCGCCAGTCCCGCGGCTTTGGTGGCAATTCAGCGGCGGGTGCACCGAAGCCACGGGACCGGCGGCCCTCCCGTGCTTGGGGCGACAAAAAACGTTGAGCCGCTCCTGCCAGCAGCTGATGGCCGGTACCTGCTCCCTTGGCTGGGGACGGCCCAGGTCTCAGTTACCTCCACTATTGCAGGCTCTGGTTTCATGCAGCCCCTCCCCCATCCATGGCCGAGATCCCCCCTTCTGCCAGCCCCACCCTGCCCGGCTCCCCCTTCCCAGGCAGGGCTGGGGTCTGGATGCCACCAGCCCCCGCCTGACACGGGTCATGGGCTCTGCCCAGGTTTGCCTAACATACAAACACCCTCTAGCCACGCCAGGGGACACCCCTCAGCCCACCCCACACCGGAGCTACCGGCCGCTGGAAGGGAGCCAGACCCCCCCAGCCCAAACGGCAGGACCAGGAGCTGCAAGAGCCCCAGTGGGGGGGGGGGGTAAATGGCCAACTGGAGCCGGGTATCTGAGGCCAAGGCCCCTGCCAATGCCCGTTAGTGAGGTCAGCCGTGATCAGGAACTGGGCCCCTCCCAGCCTGGCCAGGATCTCACCTGTCCTAGGCGCGGGGCAGGTGTCAGACACGGGGATAGCACTGAGCTCTCTGCAACCCACCCAGGGTCTGATCACCCCGAACTCCTCCGGTACCCGCACAGCGGGGGCTGCCCATGGACAGTAGGATCCCCCCTCACTCCGGCCCGG